GATCTGCCCCTGACTGAGTGACATATTATCATTTTCATTTTCCTGGTGATGTTCCATTTGTAACTACGGCCACTACTACATGGGTACTAGGAGTTACTAGCACTATTACATATTAGTATCACTGACACGATTCAGGTGGAGGGAGGTGGAGCAGGTGGCGGGCTGGCGATTGGTTTTGCCTCTGCCTCCTTCCCTTCTGATGCTTTGTTTTGCTTCGGGGACCCGCTGGACCCGATGGACCCACCACCCCATCCACTCCATCTGCCAGTGCCTCTGTGCCTTCCCCCATGCTTGCGCTTACGCTTTGTTCCGCGCAGATGATACCGGGACAGATTACGAATTATGGAAGGGAAAGTCCCATGCGTCGACGTATGTGTAGTCCAAGGAGTGTTTCGAACCACCGACGCTCCCGAAAAAAAAAGCGCAAGACAAAGATGGGGGGCTTTTTCGCACACAAAAGAGACACAAAGACCCAGACCATTCATCCATCCGTTGCTTGGCTTGTCCCAGTTCAGCAGGTCTCTGTCTCAGGAGGGTCCCTCCTTTTCGCAACTGCTCCACTTTCTGTTTACAAAAAACAAACACTTTCCCTTCGGGCGCGCGCCAATTGGCATATGCGATGGTGCAAGTAAGTATGAGCAGGAGTGATGGACCGAGTTTGATGCGCGTCAAAAGGGCGTCCCGTTGTTTCGGATCCGAAATTTCTCGTGTCCCGTCCCACATCCCACACCCAAACATTTTGGCAGAGTTCCAAACGCATCGATTCGAAGATTCGAAATCATTTCCACGCACGTAAAGGGGAGGAGGAGGAGGAGGAGGAGATTTGATCATCCGGCGTCAGTCAGGACCCACTGGACCCACCGGCGGATGGTGTCACCAAAAACTAACAGAAAAGTCCCCGTCTCCAAAAAAGGCCCAGCTTGCAAAAAAAAGGGGCGTGAACGCATCCGGGCATACCGTCGTAATGGGTGCTTGTGCCTTAAAACGCTGCGTTAAAATGATGTATCACATTGTTCCATCAACCGGCCAAACGTCGGATGAATCAATGAGTCCCTTTTCGCAGCTGAGGTGTTGTGGACACCAAGCAAACAACGTCGGGCCACCGGCCTTCCTTGGCCGCGTTTGCGGAAAGCATGTGTGGGGAGGTGGCCGTGTACCATGGTTTCGCATCGCTCATTCCTAAGTGAACACCCCTACACCCCTAACTTACGCCCTGCAAAGAAAAATTTACAAAGAGGCTGAACGCGCGCAGGTCGTGAGACAAGCGGGACCCGTTTTTTCGAACTTTTTCCCTGCAAGGGCTTTGTTTCCATCTGCTTTTTCGATAATGACTCCACCCGTCCATCACCGAATGGCTTTCTAAAAGCGTCGATAGGGCCCTTTTTTTATGCCGAGATCACTAACGCATCGAATGGTCACAGAAACCACAGCCCCCCTTTTTTGTTGCTTGGAGCTATTTTGGAGCTCCGCAAACATTTCGCAATCATTTTAGCAGTGCCACCGGAAACCCTGAGGGGACGTTTTACAGGAAGGTTCATAGGAAACAATTCAAAAGGTTATTTCAAGAAAGAAGCTCTTGTGGCGCAATTGGCTAGCGCGTTCGGCTGTTACCGGTGTTATTACGTAATCATTGCGTAATCCCCAGCGAGCAACCGGAAGGTTGGTGGTTCAAGCCCACCCAGGAGCGTCATTAAACGCTTCAATTTTTTTTCAAGTCTTCTTTTCCTTTTCAGTCATGGCTTTATTTTTCTTCCTTCGACTGTTTTGAAGGTGTTGCATCCCTGAAGTGCTGGGCATGTAGTCATTTCTACTAACCATATTGTTAATACCTTGGAGAGTGTGGGGTAAGCTCGCGGGCCTCCGATTAGTTCCGGGATTCATGACATACTCCAGTGTCCCGTCGTATAAAGCATTTCCGCAATCAAGCGTCGCTTTGCCAAAGATGAGTCATGCATGGTGGTGAAGGTCAATGGGTGTGGTTGCCGCTGGTTTCCATGTCCCGCACCCTGATGGGTGGAAGCCGGCGGATGGATACCTGCCAGTGGAACGCGTCAAAGGTGGTGGTCAACCGCGTGGGATGAAGGCATTTTATTGATGGTCTGACCAATAGACATGCGCGGGTTGGGTGCACTAGATCGCGCCTTCACCAGTAATACATTTATGTTTGGCACTGTATCGACGGTCTGCCAAAAACGGATGTGCGTTTTGGGATGTGATGGGGTATCCAAAAGGCTGCAGAGTCCTGGTGGAAGCGCGGCAGTGGCTATCATGTTCATCCAAGGTTCAGATGGGATTTGAGAATACGGGAATCTGGTGATGCTGCGGTCCCTCCTTGTTGTCCACAAGTGCCAGGCACCTTTTGAACTAGACCACGTCCTGAAAACTCAAAACTAAGTACTGGCTTTCCATTGTTTCGTCAACATCGTCACCAATATGCGTGTTATGTCCTTTACCCCGTTGGTGGCTCTCGACGTGCTGGCGTCGTGAATGACCACTACATGAATGGAGTGGACACCCATTCGGGGGGTTGTGGTGCATTAAATGGGTCCAAATGACCGGAACGTCGGTGCATTGAGGGCTGTAAAGCTGGTAATTGAGAAATCGCAAGAGGGAACAGGTTGGTGTAGAAAGCTTGCAAACAGACGTCGTCGCACTTCTGTAATTCTGACTTCCTTAACGACATGGCAGACTTTGCTTGATCAGCATTGTCCAGCAAATGTGAACGGCGACGTGGGAAAGTTTTGTTTGTCGTTGAGGATACCCGTGTGGCTGGCCAGCTTACAACGCGACGCGATCCGACGATGAAGCAAAAGGTTGAAAAGGACGCAGCACGCAGAAGAATGAATGCATTCTTTCGATTCTGATTCCGTCCTCATCCTATCCCCGTTCAATCCCTGTCGGCACGAAGTATTGAAGATCACTCTCAAGCGAAAAGTGTCTCCCAGGTTTTAATGAAAAGATGAAATTGATGCGCGCTCGGAGGAGGCTGGATGGCTTTGACATTATAGTTCCGGGAATCGGGGATGTCCCTGACGGAGGATGTCGGAGGATGTCGGATGCAAAAAAAACTTATTGTTTTGAGGGCTTTGGTTACCAGAATGCATCAGTCTTGCTCAACAGGCCGATATTCGAGATGTCGCCCTCCATAATAAGCGCGCGGGGTCGGCTCCATTCGTGACGCAATATCATATTTGGCCCGCGCGTTCCCACACATGGAATCCCAGAATTGTTCTAAAAGGAAGCATTCTGCAAAGAAGAGATCCGGTACTTGATCTGAAAACGTGCTTTGCATAAAAGGAGGGGACCCCTTCCCCACATTCCCTCTTCACACCCAAACTCTCGATACGCCATCCAAACTCCAATCCCTCCTCGTCGCGCACTTTCCCACGCTATACATACCCCATCCTTTTCTCCCCCCGCTTCCCATCGAAACTTCCCACCGCCATGGCTTCCTCGTTGCCGTATGGCGACCCGCACCATCCAATGGTCTTGGATGACAATGCTGTTCCGCTCAACGACCTCCGAATCATCTCCCGGGACTCCATGCCTCCCCAAGAAGACGGCGAGGTCCAAGTCAGCCAACTCAACGTCTCCGAAGGAGTCGAAGAATTCCAGCAAGTCGCAACAGAACTCAAACGTGTCCACACCGAGCGCAGTCTCAGGCGCTCCTCCACGCGACTCGGGCGCAGTCTCTCCAGGCGCTCATCGGCGCGACTCGGCGACGATGCCGAGAGATTGGCGAAAGAGGCAAAGGAGGAGTTTGATCTCAAGGACTTCCTTGCTGGGCTTTCCAATGAGGATGAACGTCATGGCATCACCCGACCAAAGATGGGCGTCGTGTTCAAGAATCTGACGGTTGTGGGTGAAGGTGCTGATGCGAGCAGCATTGCTACGCTTTGGACACCGTTTGAATGGCTGGCCAGGTCGCTTGATCCTCGCAACTGGTAAAGTATCATGTTGCAGTTGACTTTGAAATCGAAATTCAAAGTGCTAACATAATTGGGCCCATATGCTAGGTTCCGCAAAGTCCAAAGAGGTACCGACTTCAACATCTTGAACGATCTCACCGGTTTCGTCAAGGACGGCGAGATGCTTCTCGTTCTCGGTCGTCCTGGCGCAGGATGCTCCACCTTCCTCCGCGTCCTCGCAAACGACCGCAAGTCTTACAAGGCCGTGTGGGGACAAGTTCTGTATGGAGGAATTCCATCTTCTGGTGCGTTTCGCTGGTACCTTTTCACCTCGCGATACATACATTGACTTCCGGGTTTCTTCTCTCAGAATTTGATCGGTTTGTCGGAGAAGCCATCTATACGGCTGAAGAAGACGTTCATTTCCCTACGTTGACTGTTCGAGAGACCTTGACTTTTGCGCTGAAAACCAAGACTCCTGGGAAGCGCGTGCCTGATACCACCAAGAGAATGTTCAATGACAAAATTCGGTACCTTCTTACCAACCTGACTGGACTCACAAAGCAAATGGACACGGTGAGCATCCATTTCTTCTTCTCAACGATTACTTCAAGCTTGCCACTTAACCTTTTCCAAAACTGCGCAGCTGGTCGGCAACGAATTCGTCCGCGGTCTCTCGGGTGGTGAACGCAAGCGTATGACCATCGCCGAAGCCATGACAGCCCGTGCCGCCATCAACTGTTGGGACTGCACCACTCGTGGATTGGACGCTGCGTCCGCATTGGACTACACAAAAGCGTTGCGGATCATGAGTGATACCCTCAAAAAGACGACCATCGCCTCCTTTTATCAGGCGTCGGAGGATATGTACAAGATCTTTGATAAAGGTATGCAATGCATCGCAGATTTGTTTTGTTTGTGCTGGTACTGATGTTCATCGTCATTGCTCAGTCATGGTGTTGGACAAGGGCCGTTGCATCTTCTTTGGACCAGTTGGTCGCGCAAAAGCTTACTTTGAAGAGATGGGATTCGAGTGCGAACACAGGAAGAGTAAGTACAAATTCGTCTACTGCATGAGATGTCTGCTACCGGCTATAATTCTTAACCCTGCCATTCCTTTCTCTTGATTAGGTACTCCCGACTTCCTCACCGGCATTACCAACGTCAATGAACGGAAAATCAAGTGCGGCTTTGAAGGTCTCACTCCTAATACCCCAGCCGAACTTGAGCAGCGGTTCTTGCAATCCAACGATTTCAAGATCTTGAAAGAGCAACTGGAGCAGTACGAAGCGTACATCCAGCGCGAGGTAGTATCTATGATCGACTGACGGTTGTTGGACCCTTATCTCTTACATTTACATCTTGCTCTCCATCAGCAACCATCCCTGCACTTCCGCGCCTACGTCAACGATTCCAAGATGCACTACGCCGACTCCATTTACACCACCAACTTCTACCAGCAGACCAAAGCGTTGACTCTCCGAGAGTTCCAGCTAATTTGGGGGGACAAGGTCGCGTTGATTGGCAAGTTCCTCAACCTGGCTTGCAAGGGGTTCCTCTACGCAACCGTCTTCATCTCCATGCCGTTTGATGGTACTGGGATGTTCTTGCGTGGGAGTGCACTTTACGCGTCGATTTTCTTCAATTCGATGGTGAGCCCTTCTTCTTTTGTGATTCATCACTACCGACAACATAATAACCGCTTCCCTCCAAAACCACCCAGATCTCGCTTTCGGAACTGCCAAACGCCATGCGTGGCCGGCGCATCTTGCAAAAGCACAAGTCCTACGCCATGTACCACCCGTCAGCCTACCACATTGCGAACGTCATGTCCGATCTCCCGATTACGTTCGTCCAAGTCCTCGTGTTCTCCCTCTGCTGTTACTTTATCTTTGGACTGGCCCTGTCCTTTGAGAAATTCGTCATCTTTGTCGCGACGATGTTCTTCACGGCGTTGTGCATGACGGATTTGTTTAGGTTGTGTGGAAATCTGGCGGCGACGTACTTCACGGTGAGGGATTTTTTACTTTTTCTTTCTGAGAGCTGGCGTATTGCTGTGTGTGACAAACACTAATGGCACAGTCGGTTGTTTTCAGGCCTCGCAAGTGGCGAACTTCATTCTCATGACCTTCCTTCTGTACATGGGCTTCATGATTCCTTACGTCAAGATGCACCCATGGGTGAGTCGATCGACATGATTGTTCGTTTTTCACCGGTCGAAACACCCCTGCTAACGTCTCATGCTTGCTATCAGCTTTCCTGGGTGTATTGGATCAATCCGATGGGTAGGTCCAAGCGAGCATCTGACTGCCTTCATTGCATGTCCATACTGATTTTTTCCTGCCCATTCAGCGTACTCTTACAAGGCGCTCTACTCGAACGAAATGAGAGGGTTGCAGTTCCCTTGTACGGGCCTTGGAGGAGTTGTTCCCGCCGGTCCTGGGTACACTAACCCGGCGTATCAAGCTTGCACCATGAAAGGTCAACGGGTAAGCAAAAGCAATTCGTATTTTCTTCTCAACTTAAGGGCCTTACTCATAACTCTCTCCACTTAGGCACCCGGCGACCTCGTCGTATCCGGCGAAAGATTCCTGATGGACGCGTACGGCTACAACGCGGCCCAAATGAACCTCGACATCCTCGCCGTCTTCCTCATGTGGATCCTCGTCATCATCCTCAACTGTCTCGCCATGGAGTTTGCTGACCTGCAAAGCGGAGGATACACCCGCCAAGTCTACAAGAAGGGGAAAGCTCCGAAGAGGAATGAATCCGGTGGTGG